AATTTCCTCTTTTTGATAGTAAGGGTAGCGATAGGACGAATACTAATGGGTCCAAATCCTTCCGTAAAGGGGATTTTATGATCATGACTACAACGAGGGGGTAACCCTTTTGGTTTGGTGAAGATGTGACAAAATTTATGGAGGGGTTGTAGCTCAAGAGGAGCATGGTTACTCAGGTTGTCTTAGGAAGCCTCAATTAAGTGTGATGAGGGAGTAAGTCCTTAAGAGTTTAATATGTCAGTTGCTCCACGTGAATTGCATAGTAGTCAAGAAAAATCCCACCGAATGGTCCCACGTGCACAGAGCCAATTAACGTCTACGACAATGTCGCATCCTCCCAAAGCTAGAAGATAGAAAGTAGTAGTAAACTGACAACACCCCAAACATGGCAACTTATCTCCATTAGCTACCATGACAAAGAGATGAGAGCCCTCTTTAAAACCCAGCTCAGGGTGGAATCCGACCAAGGACCAAGTCCTAGGTTGAACGGTTCAACCGGTGGGTCAGATTGGCGTTGATGTCAGCATGATTCAACCCTTAAAAATTAATAAATCCCCAAATAAATTGACTGATTTATCTTCTTCTTCTTCCCCATAACCCAACTCCCTCACAATAAAACAATAAGCAGCCGCAGCCTCCTCTTAAAAACCCAATAACCTTCTCCATTCAAATCCCAAAATCAAATCAGCTTCTTCTTCTTCCTCAATACCCAACTCCCTCACAATAAAACAAAAGGCAGTTGCAGCCTCCTCTCAAAAACCCAGCAACCTTCTTCATTCAAATCCCAAAATCAACCCAAATCGCAAAAACCCAGTAGCCTACTCCATTCAAATTGAAAAAACCCAGCCAAATCGCAAAAACCAATAGCCTTCTCACAAAAACCCAGTAGCCTGAAGTGAATCATCGCCTCCCCTCCCTTTCCCCCATCCAACCATCTCGTTAACCACTACCCCACACCCCATCGCATGTCTTACTTAGCCATCATTGACGACCTTACCCCACCACAGACAATAGAGGCGGTAGCCCCCACCACCACCCTATGGCACCCCGTACCCCATCCAACCCACTTCTCTTCCCACCCTATTGCCCATACATCTCATAGCCTCATAATCGCTCATCCCATTTTCTTCACATTTGTTTTCCTTAAAAAATTTCATGTTTTTGAAATGCTTTGATTGATGTGTGAGTTAGGAATATGGTGTTGCTTTGGTGATATGGGTGGGGATTGTATTGATGTTTTGTTGGGAAGGTAACTATTGCTTGCGTTAATTGGTTAGGGGACTTTTTTAATAACCAAAGTGAAATGACGGTGTTGCAAAGAAGAATTGAATAGATGAGATGAACAAAAGAGATTAAGATGAAGAAATCGACAATGGAATAGGGAAAAATGGGTTAGGGCTCGACAAAGACTTAAAAAATAGGGGAAAATGGCTTGAAAACCAGGTGGAGAGTTCACCCGGTTTTCCCCTAAACCGATTGGACCAACGGGTTGCAACAGTATCCACCAGTCCAACCCCGAAGGGAATCTAGGTGAAACGACTCCCCTGGTTTTGAGACTTTCCCAACCCGCTCAACGGCCAGGGCCCAGTCCAACCGGTCGGGCCAGGTTTTAAAACAATGATTTTACTTGTTTTATTGCATCTCACTTCTTTCTTAGCAAATCCAGATTATAGGCATCATTTCTTTCTTAACAAATCCAGTTTATTATTTATAATCCGTACGCCAAATCCAACCTGAAAACTACAACAATCTTTGATCTTAGCTTTATTCAATTCCATCTAAGAAACATATTAAGTAAATAAATATTAAAAACCTCCTACATTTTCTAACCAATCTAATCTTTGCTTCGTTAAACTCTTAATTCAATAAGTGCTACCAGAAAAGTAAGCTGTATCAAACAGAATCTTTGTGAGATGTTTGAAAGAAAATAAGAAAAGGTGACGTAATAAAGATTATCAAATTTTATGTACAAATAGAATAAACATAAATACATGATAAGACAAGTTTATCCCACATTATCATTAAAAGAATAAATCATAAAGTTAAAATCACAAAATGGGCAGAAATAAATGTAATTCAGTAATTCACTCAGAAAATAAGACACATAAAAAATATTCGTACATTTAATAAGACTCTAAACTCTAAAGTCTAATCTAATCTAACCTCCCATTGCCTCTTCGGTCCCCATTTTGGATCCACCTAGAAAAGCCTCGCTTTTGACAAGAAAGAAAATTTCAGAATGGTCAATGCCTCAAATTTGTTACAAACAAATAAAAGTCACTTAAGATGAGAATAATCTAAAGAAAGCTGCTGCATTTGTCAACATGTAAACTGTAAAGGATCTTTTCCAGCTGCCAGAATCAACCTGCACTTCAACAGCAGAACCATCTATGGCAAATTCGTACACAGCCAACCCATTCGGCAAGGAGATGTATTAAGAGAATAATCTAAGAAAATTGTTCGCGTATGCCATTGGCTTGACATCCGGGTGAGGCTGTAAGTTAATCACAAGACAAACATGAAAATTCAAAGTTATCTTCCAAAGGTTCCAAAAATTATTGAAAATAAAACACGCCATCGTCTGCGTGGGAAGGGAAGAAAATAAGATATACATATGTGTAACCATAAAAGCGAAAGACATTACAATTATTCAAAAAATAGAAGCTACTGACCACAGCTGAGAATGTAATTATATTTGGCTTCAAATCAGGGGCTTCAAAACGAATAAAAGCACCCTTGTTACCCATCTGCAATAGTCGAATTACAAGCCAATGTAAGCACCACAACAAAACATGCTACATTTACAAGAACAATTCGGCAATGGTAATAAAACCATCCATTTGTATAATTCAACTTAAAGTATAATCTTCAACTCCCATAAGAACTTACAATGGGTTTTCCAGTTTCATGTTTAAAGGGAATAAGTGGATTTCTAGCTGTGAAAACAGTATAGACAGTAGTACAACTATTTTAATAATAGGTGAACTACCAGTAAGCATAACTATCATATTGCAATATCAGAAACTTTGTCAACTTTGCACGAAAGTTCAACAATAATATCTAATGGTTATTTATTCAGTAAAAAGTAATTGACATTTTCTGAAAAGACGAACAAAGTTGACTTAATGCTTCTGTAAGATAAGCAATATCCAAATGGGATCTTTTTAGGTACTTCTTTGTGACTCCTCAATACATATATTATAATTCCTAAATGTATCCGACTTTATGATACTTTTGCTAACATGTCAGGTATATCCACTCCATGCATCAGTTCATAGCTCCCAGTTTAATCTGAAAAATGTTCAAACTTAAGTTTGATATAAATTTATTTCAAGCTCAAAAACAAAGTAACCTAGCATAATATATAGAAATGACCAACAAAGTTTGTCAAAACTACATCAGATATAGAAAGAAATAATCCAGTAACCATAATTTAGTTACCTGGTCGCAGTAATTTGGTGCAGAAAATACAGTAATAAGTTTTCCATCATGCTCAATCTCATAACCTTCGTCCTTTACTTCATGAGATCGCACAACTAAGTCTGTACATTGAGTAAGGTATGTTAAGCACTGACATGGAACGAACAATATAGACAGTAGTACAAAACTACCTAGATTTCATTTTGACAAAAGAAAGCTACCTAGATTATTATCCTGCAGAAATCTTTTTGTCACATCAGCACCAAAAGAAAGACCCACTCCTCGTTTGCTAGGACCTCTTCCAGGGAGAGGTTGCGGATCACTCCATAGTAGTTCACACATCAATCCTAATGAAAATCAGACAAAAAAAATGAGCATGCAAAGAGCAACAGACAAAGTCAACTAAGAGCATGGTCAACAAACGCATAAATTAGACACACTCAACTTGGACAAAGTTGAAACATAACTGTCCTTGTTAAGAGTTTAAATACTTTTATTGGATCACCCTTGGGATTTATGGTTTTGCCAACATCATATCAAACACTATTTTATCAAGAAGTCTTGTGTTGGAATCTTAAAGATTCCTAAATTCCATTAATTTAAATTATATCACAAAGGAAATCAGGCATATAATAAGATCAGCATGTTTTTGAGTTCATGTGACAAGTCCACCGACTCAATTCAGGTATGCATGTAAGATGGTGTCACTATTGTCAGCCCATCTCTTATTAGCTCAAGCTTTTGGGATTCATAGTGCTTTAAGAATCCTTTTTACTTCCAAACTAAGACAACTCTTCCAGCCTTCTTCTGAAACTCTCGGTTTTATGGGAAAGGAAGGACAGCCAGCCATCTGTGACCAGACATAAAAACTAAATCTGCTTTAAGAAAAAAGATGGATTGCTTAAAATGCAATTGATGGAGTTTGATGTCCTCAAGTAAATAGATAAGAGTCACCAACAACATACCATATTCCAATTAGATACCATGTGCTACACAATCCTCCCAGTTCTTTGATGGGAAACAAAAAATTTTACAAGGAGATAAAAAGATCAGTATTTCAGAAAATTACGTGGACAAAGATGTGTCCACTGGTGAAAAGTCAAGATGAAGAAAAGTTTCAAAGGAGCAAAGAAAGCAGTAGAACTTAAGAAGAAAGATGTCCCTCAGGATTGCTTAGTCAGTAAAAAAGATGTTCTCAACGCACTGTCTCTCAAAGGAGACCAGGGGCAAATTCTGTTGTTTTTCTCATTCCAAAATACAAATCCGCTCTCTCAAACTTGTTCCTCAATTCTTCTCTTCCAAAAGTTATTTAAGATTAGATGATAACATAGGAAATCATTCTTACTGTGATCACTAGGAAAGTATTACACATATGACAATATTTTACAATTCTTCTCTTCCAAATTTTTGTTAAGATGACATAGGAAAATCATTCTTGCTTTGATCACTAAGAAATCATCACATGATATACAATTAACATAAAGGTGAAAAAAATATTATGCTATATCAGATAGGCCAAAGAGCCTGTTGATGGCAATAATATAAACACAAGGAAGCAATAACAAAAAAATATACTAAACTGGCCACATACCTTCCTCAGGAGGCTCAAAGAACCGATCAATTGCCCTAATATCAGACAGTTTAACACCATCAACACTAAAAAGGCCTCCATGGACTACAAAAACCTTCTCATTTAGCACATGAGCCAAAGGCAAACAACAGAACACTTCTGCAAAGAGTTCCACAAATGTTTCGTTCAACTTTGATCGGACCTCACCCTCGAAGCCATATATCTTGTTCATGCTCTTGCTCTCATGATTTCCTCTAGCAAGATATATAGCTGAAAATTTTCCACACAGTTAAATAATGCAACGTGAAAAATGAATTACTGGTCACAAACACATCATAATCAGGAACAAATTCACATAACAGTAAAAATACCACAGCAATTAATATTCTTTTACCAAGACACATAAACAATTCTCTTGGTTCAAAATGAACAGCAAACACATATAGAATCATTAAATAAAATCTCTTACAACTGGCCAGTCATTGAAGCTGGGAAAAGAAAAAAAACACCTGCAGAGAAAGCTGAGGCTGAATACCAGAAACACAAGAATCAAAGAAGGTTTACCTGATGGAGACATGCACTTAAAGGCAAATAATGTGAGGATGACCTCCAAAGAAAACGATCCCCTATCCACAAAGTCACCATTAAACAGATATGGATTCTCTTCTGAGGGAAGCCCATTAAGCTCAAAAATGTTTAACAGATCATAGAACTGCAAGCATTGCAAACATATGTACACAAATAAGTGCAACAAGCTATGGTTGGAAATAAGATAATAACAAACAATTGTGCATAACTTGGAAGCAAAAAGACAGATTTCTGAGGACGGCTATTAAAAAGAAATATAAACCAGATAGAAAACTTGAGAAAGCAAAGGTGCCAAAATGCTTAATCATAAGACGCAATAGTAGCAATCTACCAGAAGTTTACTGGAATGGCAATAGATTATAGTAACATTTCAGTGCTCAAATGAATGCAGGGATATAAATACGCAGATAAGACACATGCAGAATCGGGAAAGTTGGATAGTATGTTACTCATCAAAGTAAATCCAAATAATCCATAATCTAAACACATACTACCACCAATCTTTAGTCTTCAAGAAAATCAACAAATACATAGTAGATTTTTGACAAAATAATTATGTGATCATCAATTAATCTCTTTATTTAAGAAACGTTTTCAGGAAAACTTTAAGAAAATTGGAGGTAAAAACCAAAAACATAGTTTGGTCAGTGTATCACCACAGATATGAAGTATGAATAATCCTTTATATATACATCGAAATATTAGCAAATTTTGTGATAGAACTCCATATATCACTTATCCAAAGATAGTATACTAATAAATTTGCAGATCGTTCTATTGCCAAGCTCACAACAGGTTGGTGCAGAATGACATTTTCCATCAACTAACCTTTTTGCAATCTAAAAAGGTGTCAATTATCGTGTTTGTAAGTGTTACTCCATCAATTTCAAAATTAATGTCAAAGTATACACTCACTCCATAATTCAAGAATGACTAAGCAAGCAATTACCTGACCATGTATATCACCACACACAGTAAAATGATTGTCATCAGGAATATTTATATCAACAAGAGAAGGCAGAGCCCGCAACATTTCCCTTGTTTGTAAGACAATCTGGAATGCATACCTACAAAACAATGCAAGCAGCATTCAAAGAAAAGATTAAGACATCACCATTTCAGAACTAAATTCATATCCATCTGTGCTTGTTAAACATACCGTTTGTGTAAGCACTTCTGTTTCTTGAAGTCATCAACCATTTTCATTACAAAATCCAAAGTAATAACATCTCCCTGTATCCTTGCCCCAGAGTACTGTGGCTCCACCTCTAGAATGGAACAGAAATGCAATGTGATCAATATCTATGGATCAAATCATCTGATGAAGTTCTAATATCATAAAAACAAAAACCACAAAGTTCTTTCAGCAATCATGATAGAAGTAAATACAATCAGTATTAAGAGGTGAAGCAATAGGCAAAAAATTGATCGTCATGTCAAGATTAGAAGTGTGAGGCTACTCATGCTCCTACTTAAGACCTTATGAATTCAATTAAAGAATTATTAATTTAAGATTACAAAGGTATGTCATTGAAGCATGGAATTAAAAAGGATGCAAAAAGTGGACAACTCTATGGAGCTGTACATGCTAGTTTGTAATGTCATTTCCACACATGAATTCCATCAATTACTTATACTTGTGACCAGTAAAGAAAATAATAACCAACAAATGATAATAAAAACCGCATCTTTTTTGTTGTTGACAAGCATTATATCCTTTGCCAACTATCTTCAGTTAAAGCTTCTGTCATTCTTTCAAAGGACATTTATTCATTTTCTTTTACTACAATATCTCAAATATTAAATATCAACTCATGTCCACAAGGTCAATTTAGGGAAAAGGACCCTGTATTACCAGAGAAAATACTTCCAAATGTTATGTAATGTCATTCACAGTTCTATAAAATGTTCGAGCTGTAAGATGCTTTTTTCCTACTACACTATGAGAAGGGTATTTGTAGTTGATACATATATTCTCCAATTAACTACCAAAATGAGGGTTTTCTGATTTTGGAAAATTATGAAAAATAGCTAGTGAGTCTAGTTCAATAACTCATTTATTCTGAGCTCAAACCTAGTTCAAGTTTTCGACCCTTTGTAAAGACACCACTACCACCGCAGCCACCCCACCAATAAACCCCTAGGACCATCAGCACTGCCACCACTATTCCAGTAATTGTTGTGGCTATTGCTGGCCCCACTATCACCACCACCGCCACAATTGCTGCTGTAACTGCCACTATGACTGCTTGGATGGGCACAGATGATGAACTGGGGCTCATCCCTATTATGTACAATATATTAAAAAAAAATAATAATAGAATTAATACTTAATTAATAACACATTTAATTAATGGAAATGAATATACTTATTTATTCTCTCAATGTCACTTTTGTCCACTTTCTGCAGAACATCTCTGATGCTTATATATGTTAGGGTGTCTATAAGGATTTGCAATTTCTCTTATAGCAACATTAGTGCTCAGTTTGCGGAACTAAGTTCTTTTCTAACTTTCATTTGTAATTCATAAATCCTTCAGACTTTTTTTCAATTAAAAATTTATGTTAGATTATTCTCTCAACTAGATCCATTATTTTCTTATTCTCTGTCAGCACGATTCCCTCCAAATTGCATAATGTTCTTGGATATACATATATATTTTCATACATAATTCTCAATGTGTAATTTGTGATATTCTGGCANTTACAATACGCCACTAGCTAGTTTAGTTGATGGAAACACTAGGTTATTCCAAATGGCCGTGATAATACCGTAGAAATGAGAGACGTCGTGCCTATCTTAATTAGCTCTGTGAATGGATGATTTGTGTCTATGCGAATTGGTTCCTTCGTTGTTTAGACTAGGCTATATGCCACTAGCTAGTTTGCATAATGAAAGTGCTAGGTTGAACCTAATGATGTACGAACCCTAGAACGGAGTGGAAATAATGATAGTTTGATGATGAATACATTGTGTTAGAGTTAGTGCCTTAGAGCCAATCAGTTATTGTAGAATTGACTCTCTGAAATGATGTTTAATTATTTAATCAATAAAAGGCAATTTTCTTCTGTATCATGTAAATCATAATTGCATGTAATGATATATGTCCTTAGGATGGTAGAACCGTGACGAAGGTATCAAGTGTTTCAAATCTTGATAATGAGAACCATATGATCACATATGGTGGCCATTCTAGAAATGTCTGTAACCCCAGTATTATTCTAACCAAGGACGCAGATAATACGGAAATGCTATCATAGTGTTGAACGACCCTATCGAAAGATAGTGACTGATCTCACTTGTCAAGGTTATTTGTTGATAACCTGATGTGACACATGTGTATTTGCTTTAGGCAAGTTCACTGGACAGACCTACTAGAGGATTTCATATGGATGGTAACCCCAATATCTATAGAATAAATTCTCTAACAAATGGTGGTGCATGTGTTCCTTAGACTTGAGATCACTAGAGCGGCTTGTGCATTGATTGGTGTAGTTTGACACTAGCCTAACATAGTTTTATTTAGAGCTATCAATACGGTAATGATTAGCTACATCAAGGAGTATATCAAGACTATGGTGGATCGATAAATGATTCATCACTCCCGGGTACGAGAGAAGTTATCTTACTACACAATTTAGTGAATGGCAGTGATACTAAAGTTATGGCCACAGTGGGATTGAGTTGTTTCTCAATCTAATTCATTATTCCGGTCATTGGTCCAATAACTTAATACAAAGATATCGAAGATAACTGAGGTTGACACTATTTATGTACCTCAGCCTCGATGAGATAACAGATGATGAAAGGCTCGGTTTGCACGGTAACCATATCATTGATAGGCAAGCTATTTCGCTGAATCCGAACCTATTGGGTGGCCATGATGCCTTGCTAGAGGCCAATCTTGGTCTGTGTTTAGTGAGACGATTGATTGGTGTTAATTGCGAGACTACTCACTACTGATCCATCATCGACCAAGACATAGCCTGATAATTATGATGGAGTTAGAGCCTTAGGATTCTTTGTAGATAGTTAGATTTAGCTTTATTTTAATGTCGTTTATATGTTTTCTTTATTTCAATTCTTGTTATTTTCATCAAGGCACAGTTTCTAGGATTGCAATAGCACTTCTAATTTTTGGGGATTGACCCTTATTGTGCACTATGCTGCAATTGCGACTTGTGCATTTGTGAAGGATTAAACTTTGTATGTTTGTCAAGGTGCTGTTAGTTGGAAAAATTCCAAACAGACAACTATAGCAGACTCCACTATAGAAGCTAAATACATTGCTACTTCATAAGTAGCAAAGAAAGCTATTTGGATGCGAAAGTTCGTAATTGAACTAGGTGTGGTTCCGAACATGGCTTACCCAATAAGCATGTTCTATGACAATACTGGAGCTATTACACAGGCAAAGGAACCAAGGGCACACCAAAAATCCAAACACATTCAGCGCAAGTATCATATTTTGAGAGAATTCGTTGGAGATTATAATTCTGAAGACATCTTCAATAGAAAATGTAGCTGATCCACTGACCAAGGCGACGATACTAAAGTAATTGAACCATCATATTGAGAAGATGGGTATGAGATACAACATCATATGGCTTTAGTGAAAGTGGGAGTTTGTTAGTGTATGCCTTAGAAACTATTCGTGTTGTCAGTTTCAGAGCATTATGTTTTGTATCAATATATCATAAATGATAGAAGATGGAGTTTTTCAATTTATATATATATAAATTGCTTCCTTTATTTAGTCATGCATTTAAAATAAAGTATGTATATGAATTTATCAAAAGGTTCCCCACGGAAGTAATATTCTTTGGGCAACTATATTGCATAGTAGGCATACTAGATGCTTCCAAAAGATATCATGAGTTGATATAAGTACGGATGATTATGATAGTCATGTCACTTGGGCATTAGTATGGATTAGCGATTGGTGAACTATTTTTCGAACGTGACCAAATAACGACAAATCACTTGGAAAAACATGTAGTCAATGATTCATCGTTTGGTTATATTAGTGCACGATGTAGTCCTTTGACCTAAGACATAGAGGTCGGATCCGATACGGATGCGTATGGTTCATATGGTGTATAAGTACGAGACTAGTCATGTTTCATATAATAAATCATATTTGGTCATGCGTTGTTCATATGTAGAAATAAACGATGTTCAAGACGGGATCCATTGACTTATAAATATAGGATTAGGAGTATCGTTGACTCCATCTGGATCTGGGTTCCTAGCCGAATGTTGATAAATGTCAGAAACCAAAATCTCTGGCCAGAGTATATTATTAGTCACACGGAAGTAAGTTCGTGATGACAAGTTCCAGACATACTGATTGAAGATTTGGTAGAAGATCGAGTTTAAGATTTTTGACTTTCCATGAATCTATACTCGATCATGATATATTAATGGAGGAACTTTACTTGCATGACACATGTGATCTGAAAAGGGGTCGATGAAGTATTTTTTTTCATTGTGGTTTAGGAATTATGACATATTGTTAGATGTTTACCATAGTCGTTGGGCTTTCAAACATATTTTCAGATTCATCCAGAACTGGCTCATTCCTAATCCACGGTGGACCTACATGGTCACACCATCAAGGGGTAGTGTTCAATAGAACACCTCTGGTAAGTTACAAGTGACTCATTTTTGTATGTACTTTCTCTGTTTTTCAGTTTACAGCGCTTTTCATATTGTAAAATATCCGTTTTTGATTATCTTCCAGTACTTGAAAGTGCTTCCGCATGGGTTGTGTTTAAAAAGAACACTTCTGGTAAGCTAGTTAATAATTTTTTTAGGACTTTCTGTGTCTTTAAGCCTACAATGTTCTTAATCTTGTCAAACAAGGACTTTTAATAATTTAAAGTGTTTTTATCCATGAATTCGCGTAGTTCAATATGACGCTTTTTCCCCGTAATTATGAGGTTTTTGTTCCAAATATGAAGCACCCATGGTCAACTCAACCAGGAAGCAAGTGTTTTTATCTTGTCAAAAATTCATTTTGGATTAATTTTAAGTACTTGAAAGTGCTTTATTAAGCACTGTCAGAAGCACCAGCGTCAAGGTTTGTGTTTTAAAAAAAAAAAAAAAAAAAAAAAAAAAAAAAGAATACTTCTGGTAAGTTACTAAGTTACTTATTTTTTAAGTATTTTCTGTGTTTTTCAGTATGCAATGTTCTTAATCTAGTCAGAATAGCACTTTTTCTTATTTCAAGTGTTTTCATCCATGAATTCCCAGAGATGATGAATATGATGCTTTTTCCCAGTAACTATAATGTGTTTGTTCAGATATGAAGCATTCATGCTCAACCATGAAATGCAGCAATGAATCCAAATCCTTCGCAATATGGCTACAGAACTAGGTACTCTAACATTAAGTTACAGCTTAGTATAAATTTCTTAATATTTTAACTGAATTCATTAGCAATCAGGTTGGTTTATAGATAAGATAACAAATGAAAGGTCCAGTTCTCTTTGTTTGAGATGAATGGAGCGTAAAATAAAGAACATTTTGCAATGGAAAACAAACCGCTAATTCTTATAAAGAACATTATAAGATGAAAATACTGCTCAACTTCATTGCCATTTCTCTGTAACTTTCTTTCGTATCTTAGAATTATGAATAAATAAAAACCTATTTTCATGGCTCATACCAATGTGGGTTAAGAAGTTATGCCAGGCTTAAAAATTACAACCTTCCAATACAAGATTATTTTACACCATTCATTGTGCATTATCAGTATTCCAAGCAAGTTGGTTGCACATTTTAATGCTATCCAAAAATTATCTGAACCCAGAAAGGATGTGTTTCAGGTCTTCTGAAATAAGTCATAAAGAGTCTCAACTTTCCCTTCCTCTCCATTGCCTGTACTACCTTCTTCATCAGTACTGGGAGGTTCCAAGGCATTAATGTTTATAGTATCCGATAAGTACTCTTGCACTCTAAATGACAATTCAGTTTCAGGATGTTCGGAGGTCTGAAGAACAGACTCTGCTTGTTCAGTTGATGTTATAGTTACTTGATTCAGTGACTCCATGGAAGAACTCCTAGATAAAGTACTGGATGCCACCATTATTTCATCTCTTTCATCAATTGTTGATTCGAGTGAGCATATAGACCTTGTAGTGCGTGAATGCAATGAGTCGTGTTTAGACCTCTCCTTTACTCTCTTACACCAACTATGGAGCGACTCTCTCACACTTTCTGCCACCAGAGCTTTCTTCCATTGAGATCCCATCTGAATTGGTCAAAGAGCTATCAGCTTAGAATCCTAAAATTACAAGAGTTTAAAATGAACTCATATTTATTCCTTAGTCAGAAACATAAGCTAAAGCTTCAATAAGCACACCAGAAGATAGAAGTTTGTAAATTGCGAAACATGTATAGCATAGATGTACTATTTCAATTCAAAAATGCCAATTTAATTTTAGTATCAATATTTGTTTGTAAAAGTTGTTAGGCAAACCTGAGTCACAATCACATTCAGTGGCACTGTGCTGTAGCTGCACCAGAACTGAACAAGAACCCTGCATTTATAAAAATAAAATACATATATAAGATCGTTTTTGCCATCTAAAAGTACATGTAACTAATCTATTTGCACATTATATATATCTAAAAGAAGATTTTTTTTTTTTTTACTTTTAGCCCTGTACCTTAGCTCTGTACAGTGTTAAAGGATCATTTTTGCTTGAAGCTGACAGCATCTCATTATTTATGTACATAATTTGCCGTCTCAACATAATCATGATCAAAAACACAAAACGTAATTTGTGTAAATCGATGCAAGAACCACAGAGAAAGTTGAAGAATAGTGTATTCTTATAAACAGAGAAGTTTTCTGGAAAGCACATGTTTTCAATCAGAGATAGATAGTGATAAGCAACCAGGAGGACTGGTATACCGTAGGAAGAGCAGGGGTAAAAAGCAGAAGAATATTGCTGACACTTGTATGTAAAAGGTTGAGTTTGTTAGAAAGGACAGATGGCTTGAGGGGAGTGAATATAGGAGAATTCAGTTAGGAGCACAATAGGTGCCAGGAAAGAATAAAAACAGGGGAGGAAAGTAAGAAAAGGAACTTTTGGAAAAGTAAATTGGAAAGGAGGCTGCTGACCCTCGAAGTCAGTATTTGGGAGGTGGCTGACCCTCGAAGTCAGTCTGTTACTTATCCTTTTGGGTTGTACTCTTTACTGCATTTTACGGATTATTTTCTGAGTTGTTTTGCTTATTAAATATCGAGCTAGGATTGTTGGAATATATCTATTTTTGTCTGTGGATCTATTGTCTGCTGAGATTAATACAACAAGTTCCTTTTACGGTTTTTGAGACTTTGGCTTGTGAATGTGTATGGTTTCCTGGTAGTCTGAGTGATTTGCAGGACAGGTTCTATCAAGTGGTATCAGAGCACTTGTGGTCTGGGTAATGGTTGTGACGAGGATGGATTCTAGACTTGATAATGTGGAGAAAGAGGTCACAAAATTAGGAGTTGAAATGGGGACCATCCGGGAGTGCTTAGTGGAGTTACAGTCATGGGTAAGACGAAAGAATGAGGAAGAGGCAGGTAGAGCAGAGGTACGTTCAACAGAAAATGTTCAGTCTCACAACGAAGAAAATGTAATTGGAGACAGTGGGTCTGGAAGCATTAACCAAAACCGCAATGAAATGGGGGGAAGAAAATTGGAGATGCCAGTTTTTTCGGGTGAAGATCCTTATGGGTGGATTTTTAAAGTAGAGCGGTACTTCAGTATCAATGGGATATCGGAAGAAGGGAAGTTGGCAACAGCTGCGGTTTGCATGGAGGGAGAAGCTATCAATTGGTTCCAATGGACCGAATCCAGAACACCGGCAAACTCGTGGGCTATGTTGAAATTAGCGCTACTTCAGAGATTCAGTGGATCCCAAGAACTCAACCCGTATGAATCTCTAATGGCAATGAAGCAAACTGGTTCAGTAGTGGAGTTCCGCCGTCAGTTTGAAGCAGTAGCAGCTCTTTTGGTAGGGGAGAAAGAAGAGATCCTACAGGCCGCATTTGTGAATGGATTAAAAACAGAAGTTAGGGCTGAGGTTAGAATGGGCCAACCAAACTCATTAATTCAGACTATTGAACTGGCCCAAAGAGTTGAGGAAAAGAATCAGCCCTTGGAAGAAGCCCAAGTGGGAGCAAATAGGGCCTCACGCACATTAGGGCTGGGATTTTCAGATGGATCCAGGAGTTCAACCCGCTTTGACCACCCGACCCGAACTAATAGTAATACATGGAGTTCGACCCGATTTGAAAACCCGACCCGAATTAATATTAATCCCAGATTTCCAAATGCGATGGAATCCCTAAAATCTAACCCAAACCCAAATTCCTTCTCCCATCTCAATCGACGTTCACCAGAGTCTTCCACGCAAGGTTCATCAGCGAATTCCTCCACCCGCGATCAATCGACGACAAACTTCAGGCCATTCGATCGGCAGAATTTCCAGCGACGAGACTTTCCCTTCCGTCGAATGACAGATGCAGAGATTCAGAGAAAACGAGAAAAAGGGATTTGCTTTAGGTGTGATGGGAAATATTCGATTGGGCACAAATGTGGGGAGAAACAATTCCAGATCATTCTGATTGATGAAGAGGAAGAGGATTCAGATCTGATGGGGAGTGGGGGTACTTTCGAAACATGAACAGAGCTACAGCAGGAAAATGTGGAGCTTTCCTTGAGCTCAATGGTGGGGATTCAGGGTCCGAAGACAATGAAACTCAAGGGAAAAATCCAAGGTAAGGAAGTGATTGTGTTGATTGATAGTGGGGCTTCCCACAACTTTATTAGTTCAACGGTTGTAAAGAGGTTGAGAATGCCAGTGGTGGGTACGCAATCTTTCGGGGTCAGAGTAGGTGATGGGTATAGTGTGAGGTGTGAAGGGGAATGTCGGAACGTGTGTTTGGAATTACAGGAGGTGACGATTGTGCAAAATTTTTTCCCATTTAATATGAGCAGTGCTGACGTCGTTCTGGGGATTGCTTGGCTTGAAACTCTAGGTGAAACTAGGACGGATTGGAGACAACAAACTATGAGGTTCACGTTCGGCAACCAGGTAGTTTGCCTGTATGGGGATCCGTCGCTTAGTAAAACTATGGTATCCCTCAAAGCGATTATTAAAGCAGTACAGAATGAAGGACAAGGCTGTTTGGTAGAATTCGGGCAGCTACAGACTCAGTGTGAACAGATTGGGAGTATCGATGACAGTTTGCTGGAGGTTTTGGGTAGATTTAGCCGAGTCTTTGAGCCCCTTCCGGGGTTACCACCTGTCCGATCAAAAGATCATGCCATCCAATTGGTTCCGGGAGCACAACCGCCGAACCTCAGGCCATACCGGTATCCTTATTATCAGAAAAATGAAATAGAGCGTATTGTCAAGGAAATGTTGACCTCAAGAATTATAAAGCCAAGCATCAGTCCGTTCTCTAGTCCTGTGTTGTTGGTGAAAAAGAAGGATGGAGGGTGGAGATTTTGTGTAGACTATCGGGCAGTTAATAAAATCACCAATTCCGGATAAATTTCCGATTCCCGCGATCGATGAATTGTTGACGAGCTTGACGGGGCAACAGTATTTTCAAAACTGGATTTGAATCGGATATCATCAAATCCGAGTGAAACCAGAGGTACACCCAAGCCGCCCTTCGAACACAAGAGGGGCACTATGAATCCTAGTAAGCCGTTGGCCTACCAATGCACCGGCGACTTTCAAGAGTCATGAATGATGTATCAGGCCTTACTTAAGAAAATTTATGGTGTTTCGACGATATACTGATTTACAGCCGGGAAATGGACGAACATGCGAAGCATCTGAGCATTATTTTGCAGGTATTGTTGGAGAATCAGTTGGTGGTTAATCAAAAGAAGTGTCAATTCGGACAGCTCAATTAGAATACTGGGTCATTAGTGTCAGCTAAGGGCGTGGCCGTGGATCCTCAAGATAGCTAGCATAACCAAATGGCCAGAACCAAAGGACGTCAGAGCACTCCAGGCTTTCTGGGTGACAGGATATACGCCGATTCGTGCGCGATATGGTAAAATGCTCTTCCACTCACCCCCTACTAAAAAAGGATTCTTTTGATGGAATGCAGCAGCTCAACGGCTTTTGAGAGTTAAAGCGCATCATGACCAGGTCCCTGTATCGGATGCCCAATTTCACTCAAGAATTTATTATAGAGACCGTGCTTCAGGCAGCGATTAGGGGGGTATTGATGCAAGAAGGGCGGCCTATAGCATTTCTCAGCAAGGGATTGTCTCTCAATCTAAACTGAAACTGTCTATGAAAGGGAATTGATGGCCGTAGTCCTGCTGTACAGAAGTGGCGCCATTACTCTCTGGGTAGACGCTTTGTTTATCGCACGAGCAGCGGAGTCTCCATTTTTTAACAGACCAGAAACTTTTAAGTGAAAGTCAGAGAAATGGGTTATCAAACTGTTGGGACTTGACTTCAATATCCAATATAAACCTGGCCCACAAAACAAAGCCGCAGATGCTTTCAGGATGCCTGATACGGTTGAACCCATGCCTATCTGTGGGATGTTTTTCTGGATTAGACAGTCTTGAAGATGCAGTTCAGCCGGATGCTAAATTAAGTGGGATTATACAACAGTTACTGATTGACCCGAAAAGCCATCTCGTTTCAATTGGTGGGCCGCCATCTGTATACAATAAAAGGTTAGTATTACCTAAATCTGGACCTCACATCCAAATGATACTCACGAATTTCATACTTCACCCATTGGGGGCCATCTGGATTTTTTCGCACATATAAACGGATCTGAACGTGTTGTTTTGGGAAGGAATGAAGAATGATATCAAGGCATTTGTGCGGCCTGCAGTGTTTGTCAACAAATAAATACGATGCACTTAGTCCAGCAGGTTTGCTTCAACCATTGCCGATTCCTACTCAGGTATGGGCTGATGTTTCTATGGATTTCATTGGGGTTACCCAAGCAAATGGGGTTGATACCATTCTGGTTGTGGTCGATCGTTTGACAAAATAAGCCATTTTCTCACTTTAAACACCCGTACACACCAAGGTGTGGCGATCTGTTCATAAAAGAGTGGGAAGTTGCATGGTTTTCCCGAAGCATTGTTTCACCGAGACGAATTTTCAGAGCAATTTTTGGGCTGAATTATTCAAACAGTCTGGGACAATTTACATGAGTTCAGCTTACCATCCGCAGACGATGGTCAAACAGAAGTGGTAAACCGCTGTTAGAGACGTACCTTCGATGCTTTGTTAATAGCCACCACAACAGTGGCCCTAAATGGTTCCGGGCAGAATTCTGGTTCAACAACACTTATCATAGTCCACGGTATGTGTCCATTTAAGGCTCTCTATGGCCGCGACCCTCCAACAGTGCTGCGCTAGCTGACCACACTTTCGTTGAAACGTTGACCAGCAACTTCAACTACGAAACCGGGTTCTTGAGGAGCTAAAGGCCAATCTTCTCAAAGCTCAAAACCGCATGAAAGTGTATGCCGATCGCCATCGCGGGAAGTGACATTTGAGGTGGCGACTCTGTCTATTTGAAGTTACACCATATAGATTCGTTCTATAGCCCCTCGGTTTATGAAAAATTGAGCCCCGGTTTTACGGTCCTTTTGGATCACGGCAAGAATTGGGGCGTGGGCTACAGGCTGGCTATCCTCTTCAGCTCGTATACACAACGTTTTTCATGTTTCACAATTAAAGAAAGCAACTTTCCCAATCCAATAGTCAACCTTTACCGGCAGCCCTCAATGAAGATTTAGTGTTACAATTGGACTGAAGCAGTTCTCAAAAAAAGGAAACTTCTGAATGGCGCGTGGAGGTGTTGATTCATGGAAGGGCTTACCGTCCTATGAAAACACATGGGAGGATTTTGACATCATTCACAACCAATTCCTTCTTTCCACCTTGAGGACAAGTGGTTCTCCTTGGGGAGGGTAATGATGAGCAACCAGGAGGACTGGTATACCGTAGGAAGAGCGGGGTAAAAAGCAGAAGAATATTGCTGAACTTGCGTAAAAGGTTGAGTTTGTTAGAAAGGACAGATGGCTTGAGGGGAGTGAATATAGGAGAATTCAGTTAGGAGCACAATAGGTGCCAGGAAAGATAAAAACAGGGGAGGAAAGTAAGAAAAGGACTTTTGGAAAGTAATTGGAAAGGAGGCTGTGACCTCGAGTCAGTATTTGGGAGGTGGCTGACCCTCGAAGTCAGTCTGTTACTTATCCTTTTGGGTGTACTCTTATTGCATTTTACGATATTTTCTGAGTTGTTTTGCTTATTAAATATCGAGTAGGATTGTTGGAATATACATTTTTGTCTGTGGATCTTTTGTCTGTGAGATTAATAAACAAGTTCCTTTTACTGTTTTTGAGTCTTTGGCTTGTGAATGTGTATGGTTTGCTGGTAGTCTGAGTATTTGCAGGACAGGTTCTATAATATACAAGAACCCCTATTGCCTTTGAAGGGGAATTGTGACCTGAAATTAATCAATATTTTATAAGATGGTTTTACAACTCTTACAGGGATATTTTATATGGATGTCACCACTTTTCTAATATTTCATTGGTACCTGTTGTCGTTACTTAATGAGGAAGATATGCATTTTTCCTTTCCAATTTTTACCTGCAAAGATTAATTCTTTTTATACTTTCTCAATCAAGAAATCAAGAGGTTTTGTTCTACTAAAGTTGGAGAATGTTGGTTGGGGGTTTGTTTAACATTTTTTTGAATATAATCAGGTGTCTCGATCAAGTTCTGTGCCGCCAAACACAAGGGATGCTCTATACCAAGGATTGCCGCCTAATATAAGTCGGCATTGCGTGCCAAAGTACAGTCATTCCAGGTAAGAGAAGAGGTATTTGATTGATATTTTCAACATTTGACATCTTAATGGCTTCTATCTTTATGTTTGTGATAGCCTTATTTTCCACTCATGCTTGATTGATAATTATTTTGTTCAAAAGCCGTTCTTGCAGCTTATGTCCCACAAATAAAGGCAGAATGGAGAAAACTCTGCAGTGGCTGTTCCTATGCCACTAACACGACTAAGTAAGGATTTTCTGTCCTCATAAAACTCCATAACTTTCTCCTTCTGGGTTGTGTTTATATCTGATGCCTGATTACCCGTTTTCAATGTTAGTAATTAAAAACATCCCTTGCAACTGTGGGGTTTACAATGGATGAGCTTGAGTCTTTTCTCTTCTAAGTTGTTTACTTATTACTTAACCATATTTTTTCTTTTTGCAATATGGTCCTACCAGGGCTCATCACGGATTTGGTTGGGTTGGAGAATGGGCAAACACAGGGTGAATTACAAGTCTAATTTGCTTTTTGTTTATTTACTATTTTTCAACATTATTTAGCTAAGGGTTTTTCATTAAATTGTACAGTGCTGAGGTGAATCGGAAACTGGCTGGCCAGACCGGTTGCTCAGGATTGAGACACTACACCATGCGGATAAGGATAAAACGGAAGGATATATTCTCGAACTGGTTGTATGGCTTCACTATCTCGTTACACAAGTGAGGGCTAGCAATGGTGGAATTCGATCTCTGTTAAATCCCCAATTCGATCCCCAACCAAAGACAATTCAGTTATCTACCAACAAGGCCCACCCGCCGTCTCCCATGTTGACAGTTGAAGATCAAGAGATGCTTCGCGATGTAAGTAAAAGGAAAAAGGCTCCAGGAATAAGTAAGAGCCAAGAGTTCGACACTGCCACAACCAGGTTAAGCAAGCACCATAGATTGACTAAAAGTAATAGCCACTCCCCAACAAGTGAAAATAAGAAAGACCCCTTTCCGATTCGAAGACCTTCTTCTGTTCCCATCATTGATTTCGACATCGATCGCATCAAAGCCTTGACGTCATCGATCGAGTTGACACAATCGAAGTTTATAATAATCATTGCTGCAGAAAAGAAAACTGGTGCGGCGCTGGAGGGGGCTGGGTTCGGAAATTTTCCTTGAATCATGTTGGTGAATCTATGAGTCCTGGTTGAGGAAAATGATAAGTGATAAAGAGTCGTCAGTTTTTGTCAATGGAAATTGAGGTGAGAAAGTATCGTAGAAGGGGAATTAATTGTTTTAAAAGCTTGGAATGAATGGATATCAAAAGTTATATATAGCTTTCAGTAGTTTTAGTTTTGTATGTACAGAATACTTCAGCTCCTTCTATAATAATCAAAAGCATCTGTGTTTTTTTTTTTTTTTTTTTTTTTTTTTTTTTTTTTTTTTTTTTTTTTTTTTGTGGGTTCACACTTTACAATTGGGTCATAATTTGATCTCACATAAGCTGTAGAGTGCAAAACAAAATTTCCATAATGGATAATTTCTATCTCTAGTTTTGCTCAAGCTTCTAACTAATAATCATAGTTGATCACCTTCTTGGCAATTACAATATATACTCATTTATCATTTTTTTGAAGATTCTAATTTAACTAGGAATTAACCTATTTTTTTGGAAAATTAAGGTCCTAATGACTAATCTTCGAGTCTGTTTGATTGGGTTTATCTCTCGGTTAAAAGTGTTTAATTAGAGCTCTATTGACACCCCCACTAATGAAGACTTAATTCTTAAAACATTACATCTCAAAAGTTTTTAAAATTAATATTTTTACTATGGCACTATAAATTTCATAAATGCCCTTCATTCAATTTTTTATATTTTAAAATAGTTAACATTTTATTCCTAAAATAAAATTTTAATAATTAACTTGAAATTTCAGAAAAAATTAAAGCTAAGAAAATCCTTACAATATAATCTTAAGAACATAATACAATTAAACAGCACAAATACATGTAGATTAAAATAATTACCAATATTTGTAGAAAAAAATAACAAAAATTTATATGTGACATAATTAAAAACTTGTAATTTTGTATTGTTTGTAACCTAATAGATTCTTTGCAAAATTTCTTCCTCCATAAACTAATTTTTATTCTAATAATATTGAATGGCATAAGATAGAAGTAAGGTGTTAAAAGTATTTGTAGAGGATAGAAAATTAAAGTTAATAAATTAATATTATAAAATTTATTAAAAAGTGGGCTTATTCTAAATGATTGATGCCATTTATTGGCCTGTTGGACCATGGGCTTGGAGTTGGTAGCAGCCCATGAGATATTGGGTCTTGGTAATATGGGCTGGATTGAGCCTTTCTTTGGTCCATTTGAACTTCGTATTTTATCCTAACAAACCTCATTCCAAATTTATCGCCTTGCTCTGTTATGTAATGTGTTTCCACATCGGTCCAACAAAAATAAACACGTACTAATCATATAAAATTTTTAAAATTAGATTTTTATTCTAGATAATTTTTTCGTTCTGGAAAGGGATATTATCAATCAAAGGGCAATTTTTTTTTTAAGAAAATTATTAAAAGAGTACATATATTTCAAAATACACTGCAAAGTAACCCAAAAAAAGAAATTAATTGCTCTTAGATTTAACAATTGGTAAGGGTTAAAAAATGTAAGAAATATTAGACCGCGAAAGAATCACCGATGTTTTGTTTTTTTCTCCTTAATAATTGGTTTAAGAATATTTATGTCTTTTCAATTATTTCCATTAAGATGCCATTAGATTGAAGAGAAATAAAGGAAGAATATCGAAAATTTAAATATATTTTTTTAATACTTTTTCTTTTGTTTTAGAATCTAATTCATTTTTATTTTCATATAACATATCATGTGAATGAACATACTTCTTTTATTTTATTTTTTTATTCTCATACAACATATCATGTGATTGAACCCTTTATTCTAATTTAAAAGAGAAAAAATAAATACAGTAAAACCTCTTTATAGTGATACGTTATATAGGAATAAACTTTATATAGTCATAAAAAATTATAATCCTAATTTTGGATAGTTATAAATAAAAATAATCTTTACATTGTAATAAGTTATAATTTTTCTAATCCTTACCTTAAGGAAAATTATCTCTACATAGTAATAATTATCTTTATATTATAAAAAAAAAATATATTATGTTACATTAAAGATTTAAGATGAAATAAAATATTTATTTAAAGTTGTTTAGGACAATGATTTATGTTTTAGAATTGTTACCACATCTTTTACCTTGCGAGTACGTAATAACTCGCTAGCATAGACACTTTCTCATTGAAGCCAAAACATTTTTAGCTTCTCAAGTATGTTTACAGCTTCATGGCATAAAACTTTTTGTATTTCCGTACTATCATCCTCAGGATTATTTTATTTCTTTTGTCCAATTGCAGCAATAATTTCCTCTTTGGTTAAAGCATACACGATTTACTGCTTATTTGGATAATTGAAGCAAACATTAATATCCATTCGATTAGTGTATTGAAGTTGTCGAATCTGATCACTCAATTCTGCAATGACTCTCTTATTCTTCTCATTAGAGGTGGAAAAGCAACCCGCTCGGACCGACCCGACTCGGCCCGCAGTGGGTTGCTGATAATGGCGGGTCGGTCCTGACCCGCCCGGTAACATTGGCGGGTCGGGTTAGGCCCGCCAATGTTTGGGAATTGGCTGGCCCAACCCGGAACGCCAACCCTAACCCGCCGGGTTAGGCCGCAAGTTGGGCCGGGTTAACCCGCTTTTTGATTTTTTTTTTGATTTTGTTTTTGTTTTATTTTGTTTAAGTTTAAATGTTTAATTAACTTTTCAAATGAATAATTAACAATTTATAAATGAATAAATGTAATTGTTTTTAGTTAATTGTTAATTTCTTTTCAAATATCAATAATTAAGTTAAATTAATTTTTTTTTGGTTAACATTCCAATATTAATTCAATTTTAATACATTAAAATTGTAATATAAGAATAATCAAATTTATTCATTTATTAAAAAATAAAATAAGAAATTACAATAATTATTGCCTCGTTAAAAACCTCACCAAGAAAAACCCAATAGGACAAAAACTTGGTAAGGAAAAAATAGTGCAATAATTGACAATTAATTTACAAGTTACAATTTACAAAACAACTAATTTTGGGGTTCACTAGGACCTCCCACATCCGTATCATCTATATTACAAAATTGAAATGATTCTATTAAAGTATCGTCGACAACCTCGTATTGACCTTGATGGCGCGACCGTTCCCAATCTCGAAGACATGTGAGGACTTCAATCATTTGTGGTGAAAGTTTAGTCCTCCTTTCATTTAAAATTCTTCCACTTGCACTAAATGTTTGTTCGGATGAGACGGTTGAGACAGGAACAGCGAAAACATCCAAGGCAAGTCTTGATAATACTGGAAAAATACATTTTCTGGCTCTCCAATACTCTAAGAGATCAAAGTGACCTGTTGAAAACATTTCGGGGGTTGCCAAATATTGTTGAAGTTCATTACTCTGCGACTCCATGGAGGACAGCATATTAGTTGTTGTTGTTGTTGGTGGTGGTGCGTCTGAAGAGGAGGCTGTGCTTCGGACTCGGGTCCTCTTCGGCCTATTCAGTGCATTCCAAGAGAATAAGTCTTCATTTGTTTCTTCTGCTACAGCTTCTCTGGATATTTCGCCTCTTTGCGACTGCGGGTTCCCATACCTGTTTTCATATTGGAAATATACTTCGAAAAGACTATTTTTTACCTCTCCTATTTGATTGACATATGATTCGTTTTGTAAATTTTCACTTAAATTGTCAAGACCATTTTCTAAACGTGCTAATTTAATTCTAGGATCAAATATAGCACCTAAACAATAAAGAAAAGGAACGGGTCTCCAATATTTCAAAAATTTTTTTTCCATTGCCTTTATTGGTGCATGTAAAATTTCATCATCTTTGTTTTTTGTAAATAACTCGGAAATTTTTATAATTGCATGTATTACCAATGGACTAGTAGGGTAATACACACCAGAAAGTTGTAAAGTGGCTTGGTAAAAACATTTGAGAAAAGAATGAAATACTTTAGCTATCTTCCAATCATTTTCTACCAAATGATGAGGACCTCTATTATTTGCTACAAAATAACTAATTATATTAGCATAAGGTAAACATGAATCAAGCATTAAATAAGTACTATTCCATCTAACAGGCATATCTAATGCAAAAGTTCTAGGAGACATATTTGATTTTATACAAGCTTCTTGAAATTCAGCATTTCTTTTATTACTACTAGTAATCCAAGCTAAAGATTCCCTAATTCTATCAATATTTTTTTTAATTGTTTTCATACCACTTTTCACAATTAAATTAATAACATGACATGCACAACGTTGGTGAAAAAACTTCAAATTATTATATAAAAGATAATTATTTTGAAAAAATTCTATAGCTTTACTATTAGAACTTGCATTATCTAAAGTTAAACTTATCACTTTATCAATAATATCATAATCTTCTAAAACTTCAATAATTTTATTATAGATTTCTAAACCACTATGATCCACATCCATTAATCTAAATCCTAATAAAGATTTATTTAATTTAAATTCATTATCAAAATAATGACTAGTCACACAAATATAATCTTGTTTAGCTCTACCACTCCAAATATCAGCAGTTAAAGCCACACTAATATGACAAGTATGAAATTTATTTTTTAATTCTAATT